CCCCCCAGTGGGGACCCTCACCCCATGGAGGTTTGGCCAGCCTGGGTGAGGGACTGATGGCTATTTTCAGGCTGATCACACCCCTTTTAGGGTGGGGGGTCCCCACTGGGGTGCCTGGCCAGCCTGGGTGAGGGGCTGATGGCTGTTTTCAGGCTGGCCACACCCCTTTTAGGATGGGGGGTTCCCACTGGGGTGCCTGGCAGTCTGAGTGAGGGGCTGAGGGCCGTTTTTAGGCTGGCCAAGTGCCCCCCCCCACCCCCGGTGACGGAAGCTCCCAGCCTCTCCTTCTTTTCTTTTTTTTTTTTTATTCTGGGATTTATTTACCTCCTATAATTGAAACTTTGTTGCTTGAATGGAGCTCAGAGCCGGCCGCGGCAGGTGTGAAGCTTGGCTTCCTCCATCATTGGGGCAACCAAGCCTCCTGCTTGTTCCAGCTCCATGGCTGCCGGCCGCCATCTTAGTTGGGTTAATTTGCATATAGTCACTCTGATTGGGTGGTGGGTGTGGCTTCAGGTATAGCAAAGGTATGGTCAATTTGCATGTTTGTCTTTTATTAGTGTAGATTAATGTAATTGACTATATTAACAGACTAATGCTGTGGGTGATTGGATGCAACGCTTAGAGTCCTTGGATGGGGATGAGCATACATTGTATTTGAGAGGAACAGGAATTATTGTGGGCCAGAGAGAATGGTACAGTAGTACATTATTGTCACCAGTCCTTCACCTCTACTTGTATTCCTGTTCTTTGCTCTTTGACTGCTATTTCTGCTAAAAGTGGCAGTACATTTCCTCACTTTGTGAACTTTGGATTTTGCCATGTGGCTTGCTTTGAACAATAAAGCCAAAATGATGGCGTGCCAATTCCAAGTCTAGGCTTTAAGAGGTCTTACATGTTCCTACATGCTACCTTGTACTTCCAACATGAACATTAAAAACACGAAAAGCTACCTGGGCTAGCTGCTGGTCTCAAGAGGAGCAGGAGACATGTAAAGCAGAGTTGTCTCAGCCAAGCTGCTCAGCCAAACCCATCCTAGTGCAGCCCAACTGACCATCAGACCTGTGGGAATAAATGCCACTGAGGTTTTTTGACTTTATTTTGTAGCAGTAGGTAAGCATCAGTTAATAAGCATCTTGACTCACCTCTATTCCAGCTGCTGTTATTTAGAGCTTCATCATGCCTGGCTGAGATATTTGCAAGGGCCACCTGATTAGACCTCTGTTTGCCTCTATTCCTTCTTGTCTCTTGTTTACACCTCTACAAGAGTTGTCTTTACCCAAAAGGCAAATCTAATTGTCTATAGGAAAAGGCCATGGTCTTGTGTGGCATCCTGGTCCTTCCTTAAGACTTAAGTCTTAAGTCTCCTGCTATTCCACATACCCTGTCCCTGATATTCTAATCTCAGGTTCCAGAAAGCATCAGGCCATTTCATGGCCCTAGGCCATCACTCTCATTCTTCTCTTTGCCTGGCAAAATCCTACAGGTCCTTCAGGATACTTCTGACATGTCACCTCCTTTGTCACATTTTTTTCCAT